TGATGGGGGAAAAGAAGTGGTAGACTAACGAAATAAAAGTCCACCTATTTGAGCAAGAAAAATTAAAAATCTAGTAGAACATACTTGCCCAGAAAAAATAAATAAATAAATAAATAAAAGTATCTTCTATGGTAGCACAAGTATTGAAGGAAGAAAACTCATGGTTTTCCATCTTTTGTTTCCAGGAGCCAATAAAACCTCTTGAAAAGAGAGCTCTAAACTTCTTAGTCAATGAATTTTTATTGAAGAATAACTACAAGCTTACATCAATAACCTTTTCGGATGAAAATGATGATCAGGTAAAGTTAGTTTGGTTTTTTTAAACAATGATTTATTTCCTTTTTAACTTATAATTTACCTTCTCTTGTATCTAGTTTATTTACTTTTTAAAAGATGTACATATATTAAAATTCTGCAAGCCTGGTTACCAAAAACAACAATTCTTTGCCTACCCAGTCTAGTATTCTATTGGTTTACAGGTTTTTTTTGTTCCCTGTAGCTTTCTGTGGAAAGATTTTTCAGGTAGTTTTTTACAACTCCCCAGTAACTATATATTCACTCATAATTGCATGTATTCCTAAAGTATGCTATTTTTTTAACTTTAAAAACATTTACTTGGTAGTACAGAATAATGTAAACTTATAAATCCAGTTTATCCAAAAACCTCCTTTATAACACGATAATAATTAAGATATTAGGTAAGTAGATAACACAGTAATTAAGAGAATATTTTGAATGAGAATATAAGCTATATCTTTCTGAATAGGGGCCAATTTTAGAACTTCATTATTATTTTCTTGGTAAAATCTTATAAGCAAACAAATGATAGCATATTTTAGTATCATTTCTAAACTCTGGAATAGTTTGACATCTTGGTGCTAATAAATCAGTTTGAATCTTGTACCTTAGAAAAGTAAATGCCAAAGAGTTTATTATATAGAAATCAGGACTCCATCATTTTAAATCTAGGTCATTCTGTCAGTCCATAAAAATCTCCCGTGTATCTTTTAGCAAAAATAGAAGTTCTCTAAGGGATATAGCAGTTCAGTTATTCCCTCAGTTATTGTAATGTACTTGGCAAAAATTAAATGTAATAAATAACTAGTTATTTTTTATTAAATGGTAGCTTTACTGAACATGTAGTAAGTAAAAGATATTAAACTAGTATTTAGTTAACACAACTATTATACTGTGTTATACTATTGTTATGGTTTAGTCTAATCATGTTTTTTTAAATGATCAGCTAAATAATGAATAGGAAAAATTTTGAATATGTAAGAAACGTTGAGAGGCCAGAAATCAAGCAGGAAATCAAAAAAT